GTATGTTTCGAAAACATCTGCCATGGCGTTGTTGGACGTTGAAAAAGCATTCGACAATGTCTGGCATGATGGCCTGGTGTTCAAATTGCAGCAGTACGGTCTTCCAATCTTCCTAGTGAAGATCATAAACAACTATCTATCAGACAGGACGTTCCGAGTCTCTCTGAATGGCATCACATCGGATGCTTTCAACATCGGTGCCGGGGTTCCACAAGGAAGCATTCTTGGCCCCATCCTATTCAACCTGTTCAGCTCCGATATGCCGGCTCTCCCTGATGGTGGATCGTTGTCTCTGTTCGCAGATGACACATTCATCGTCTACAAGGGTAGGGTCATCGGAGCTCTGACTGCCAAACTTCAGAGAGGCCTGGACGTCCTGTCTGAATATTTCAACAGCTGGAAGATCCGTATCAACGCGGCAAAGACCCGGGTCATTATCTTTCCACACTCTAAATCTCCTAGACATGTTCCGTCAGAGAATGACAAGATCTGCCTGAACGGCACAGTGGTGGAATGGTCCAAAGAGGTCGTATACCTCGGGCTAACACTAGACAGCAAGCTTCTTTTCAGGGAGCACGTTGACAAAACAAAAACCAAGTGCAACATCTTGATAAGATCGTTGTATCCACTTATCAACAGGAAGTCAACCCTGTCCCTGAAAAATAAGCTTGCTGTCTACAAACAAATCATCCTTCCTGTAATCGAGTACGGTATGCCAATCTGCGAGAGTTGCGCGAAATGCCATCACCTTAAACTTCAAATTCTGGAAGCCTCGTGGAATAGCCTCACAGTTGAGATGAGCTTTGACCGCAATTAATACTCCTCCTCCGCGAGAATGCTGACTAGCCAACGCACTACGATCACAACGATAAAATGTATAGTCGGATGAAATTTCAGCACTATCAATATCGGCTCGAAGCCAAGTTTCTGTGAAGACGAGCACATCGTAGTCGCAGCTGGAAAGAAGCAAACGTAACTGCATAATTTTGGTTCGCATGCCTCTAACATTCTGATAGTACACAGAAATGAGGCGTTGAGAAGATGTTTTTTTCGTTTCGAATTCAGGAGCAGCGGGGGGATTATCCCCCTGGCATTGATGGAACGTTTTAAGGTTGACTGGGTTTGCTGTGACGGCCGGAACTGGAACATCTGTGATGCATCGACGTGTGGCTGAGTGGAAGTGAGTTGACGAGCACAGGTGGCTGGAAGTTGACGAGTTGACGAGCACAGGTGGCTGGAAGCGACAAACGTTACTCGACGCGGAATGTTCATGTTGTGGGGGTACTTGCCTGCTGCGACAGAGTGGAATACCCCTTCACCAACTTCGCACACAGGACCGGGATGGCTGCAGATCGCTGGCGGTAGTGGCTCGACTGTTGCGAAGGGATTAGGTGATTCCGTAGCTTCACGGTCCATACTTGGTGACGAGAGATAAGGTAGCATGAAGCTGTTCAGATCGAGTCTTGCAGGTGTGCAGGATGACGATCACCTCAGCAACCAGCGTTACTAGTTCCTTCGATGTAAACGTAGATTCGTCAACTGAATCGCCTGAGGCAACACGGGCTTACGATAGTCCAGGTGCCGAGGCAGAAAATTGATTTGTCTCGTTGATTGTTGAGGGGTAGCGGTGATAGATTTGGGACCAGGCGATGAGGCTGGATTTTCGGGTATTATTCATCCGTGATGGCTGGTAGTGTACGTTTGTTTCGATGCCGACCTGGCTGGTTACTAGTAGCCACCTTCTTCCTGATGTTGATGTGTTCCGTTCGCTTGGGGCAGTCCCGAGTAGTGACACGGTGAGTACCGCCGCAGTTAAGGCACTTCGGCTCGGTGTCATCAGCTTGAGCACAGGTCGCCGTCGAGTGGGTCGCAGCGTGGTTTCAAATGACAGTTTTTCGTGCCATGGCCGAAGGAGAGGTAACTTGTGCATTGAGTACCATTACGGTGTTGTGGATGGTAGGATTCCCACTTGAAAATGACCTGAAACAATTTTTTTTATCTAGTTAGTTTATCTGGAAGGCTCAATCACGTTAGCTTTACTTTGTTTGTAACGAAATTCACTTAATTCGATGTCTAGTAGGAGTTGGCCCGAAAACTCACGGCTTACCCGAGGTCAGAGATCAGTCATTGTCGAAAGATAGGATCAGGGTAAGATATTGGGGATGGGTTCCGTTGTCTCACCAGAGCATTGTCGCCAGTATGAACGATAGTGCGGTTCTAAAGTCGTCTGGTGTTCGACCGGCTATGGTGATCAGTAGTCGACGATGAGACTCATCGAGACGGGAGGACTAGACAAACAAAAACTACAAGGGACAACCCTATGGGGTTGTACGCAATGGTGACGTACGACTACGTGGTCTTACATAATAAATCTAGGGTCACCTTTCAAATAGACCAATCTACATTGATCGATTCTCTTCAACGATTCTCTCTTTCGTTATTAAGTCGGCTCCAAAAACACGTTCAGCTGATCTTATCGTCCAATATGCTTGATGCTTGATGATCTTTTGATAGACTATGTAGAAAATTTTGCCCGACATATGAATGCAGCCATGCTATTAACGAAAGAGAGAATCGTTGAAGAGAATCGTTGAAGAGAATCGTTGAAGAGAATCGATCAACGTAGATTGATCTATTTGAAAGGTGACGCGAGAAATGTTATTTGTTAACTGCAGCAGGAACTTGTGTTTTGTGTAGGAATAGGAATTTGAGCGGGGTTCTCTCTGTTTATACTTTTTAGTATGACGCGCTTGGCATAGATGGCCCACAGCGACTCACGAAGAGCTACTGATTCCAATCAATAGCGATGCGGCTTCTTCCTCTTTCTGTGAATGCTCATGTGGGCTGCAGCTCGCTGCTTGCGGGGAGCATTTCGTTGTGTACTGGAGAACACCACCACTCCCCACGCGGTGGTTGAATAAACACCGTTTGGTGAGGCGGGATGGATGAATCACTTTTCGCAGGCAATCGGTGAGAATTTTAATAATTATAGCTAAAGTTGCACATTCGTGCAATTTTCAACAGTGACATTTTGAAAAAAAAAATGATAAAGTCTTAATTTTAACATATGCGTAGAAATATTTCTGATCGATTGGTGATAAAGTTATTGAAATTGGTTCAAGGGCAGCTTAGTTATTAACGTTCAAAATCTTTCATAATTTCGTTTCACGTTTTCGGTTTTCACAAAGTGTACCCCATATAGAAACCACAGACGTAGTCCTACATCAAAACTGATAAAGATAGACAAAGACAAATAGTATAAATTCTTATACTAGACTTTACAGGAACACACTAATTGACTGCATATAGCAGATATCGCGAGTTGCCAACACGTCTCTGATAGGGTTGGCTTCCTTGAGCCTCGAGGGTATTCAAAAGGCGCTGTCTGGCGGCGTCATTATCGGTACATTGCCAAACTGCGTGATCGATGTCATCGTAACCGTTACCACACCGACAGATGTTGCTGTCCACGAGGTCTATTCTATTGAGATGAGCATCTAGCGAGTAGTGGTTGGACATAAGTCTACTCATCACACGAATGAAGTCACGACTTAAACCCAAGCCTCTAAACCACGCTCTCGAAAAAAAAAACATTAGGAAGAATTGAATGTAATCACCGTCTTAGATTTCCAGTGTCCCAATCGGTTTGCCAACTCGAAAGGGTACTCTGACACACTAAATTGTGAATTCAATCGTGAGAAATTTGCCTGTCATAAAGTTCGCCTTCCTGCGCGCCCACCTTTGCTAGAGAGTCCGCCTTTTCATTGCCTGTGATTGAGCAATGTGAGGGGACCCATACAAAGGTAATAAAATCTAGCTGAACATTGCATTAGGTCCTAAGTAACATTGATCGATTCTCTTCGTCGACTTTCTCTTTCGTTAATAACTTGAGCACATGATCGCTTCTTGTTGTGTTTGTCGTATTAGATGCTGGATAAAAGCTTCATTTAGCGATTTGTGTGCTGAAAATACCTGAGAATGTCTTTAAATGGCCGTGGGGATACAAAGAGAAAGTCGACGGAGAGAATCTGTCCATGTTACTTAGGACCTAATGCAATGTTCTGCTTGTTATATGATCTTTCGACCAGCACACCTATCTGCCCCCTTACCTTTGAAAGAAAATAATATGAGTGCCTACTTGGTTTCGTCGACCGAACAGCCCCAATCGAACTGAGACCAGGGCTGAAAAAAATCATTGAAATTCATCAAAGTTCACTATGGATGATAAATTCATTTCATAGTGAATGCTGGTGATTTTTTCATGATTTTTTCAATTCTGACTGAGACTATCCGAGAAGACGAAGTAATGGTCTGCGGGCATTGTTGGAAATCATCCCCATTGCAAAGTTGATTACTGCCTTACATGACATCGCAACGCTGCTTCGATGAAATGGTGCAAAGACGTTGTCTTATTTCAAAAAATTGATCGTTTCGAAATCTGCAATGATTGCTCTTCTTTCGTAATCCTTTTACTATGATTTGGACTAAATGTGAATGCTGTTTTTAGAATTTCCCTTTGGAGTAGAACATTGAGAATCAAGGTTAAGCATGTAGGTATTTTATGCTTATAAGGGACTGAAACAAGGGAAATCGCGTGAGGAGATTGAATCGAAAAACATTTCAAGATGATATTGTTTGCTGACATAATCGATAAGGTAAGTTCTTTTGTTTTCTGCATGATTTTAAATTTAATATATATCAGAGATTTTAAAATAAAATACGCTTCTCGAGTTCCATTACATTACGTCATCATTCTAATGAAATCTTGATAAATAAAAAAAAAATGCTTATTGCCGAATTATCGCTGGTTGCTATATTTGTTTCAATAGTTCTCGTTTTTCTTTTTTCCATTTATTTTCGCCATGCCATGCATCGTTCGTTCGTGTTCGTTTGATCGGCGCCGCTTATCGTCGCAATTCATCCATGGATCGGAAAAAATGCAAAACAAAATTGAATCAATCTCACCTTTATCCCACGTCTGTGTATGTGTGTGTGTATAGAACCATTCCTTACCGACCGATTCAACCCATGTAGGATTTCCCCAATGATGCTACGACCTGATCGTGTGCCGCCGGTGCTGCTCCGGCCTTTGGAACCCCTTGGTTTGGTGGAACAACCAAAAGCAGCAGCGGTCCCAACGTCACCGCACCCTCGATCATGACCACGACCACCAGCACCAACCCACAAAGCATCATCAACATCAACAACAGCAACAACAGCAACAGCAACAGCAACACCCAATCGAACTGTTCGAATCCATTAACAACGGCCGGGCCGCCGACGAGCTCATCCAAGATGACGAAGATGATGATGATGGCCGGCAGTCGGTTTCGAGTGCCACGCCGGAACATCAACACACTGGTCGCGGACGTCAACGTGGACGACGACGAGGAGGACACGACCACGACCTGTAACGACAATGAGTTCGTTTCGACCGGGACCGTCACCTTTGCCCTGTCGTCGGTTTACTACGTCGAGTGCGAGGAGGGTACGTAATTTAAGGTAAAGGTTCGTCGGGGCAAAGTGTGAAGTGTACATAGCAGAAGATTGTTTGTAGTTCTAATCAAATTGAACTTTCTCTCACCATTCAGTAGAATTAGAATTCGGGACGGGGAAGAATAAGAGATTTATGAACTGTTGAGATTGTAGCCAGAGATTAGCCAGTATTTTAGTGAAAATGCGACATCGGACGGTAGGAAGATATTTCCGTAAAACATTGATCAGCAACCGTCTAGACGAAAACAGCTCAGCTGTTTGGAACTTTTGGGCATTCATTCCCGTTTGATTTCACTTGATTGGTCCAAATTCACGCGTCACCGAACGACGCTATGCGGGAATTATTTCCATCGATTGCGTTACGCACAAAGAAAAGTTCCGTCATTAATTACCGGCATGAATGAGTTTCTTGTGTTGCTGCGCCATCCAGACAGTTTGCCTCATCAAATTTCCAATCATCCATGCATTGAATCAGAAAGTTTGGCTAACCACCAAGACGTACCTAGCATCATATTCCTCCCCGCCTCGGAGAAAGAAAATATTGATTCTTGTGTTCAACCTTAATTACACAGCTCTGAAGGCAAATAGCACAACAACTGTCCGAGAAATCTTTGCCCATCAATTGGCAAATCAAAGTTGGCTCCCGTGGTGAATAGAAGAACTATGAAATTGATGATGATTTCATAATTTTGATGTGATTTGTGATAGCGTGTTAGTGAAAATCTGAGGAAATTACAAAACAAATCACTGTCAAACTCATTTGGACAGATCTAATATCATAATTTTGTTAGCTTAGTCAGATGAAAGCAATAAACATCTTTACATGGCGATGCATCCGCTAACACAAACGAAGTGACAGACGGAGCGGTTCGAAAACTTTGGTGACGAACCTGCTATTGCAATTTTTCAGTGTACCACATGGCAGCACTACTACTGGATTGTACTAGTATTTTCACCAAATGTACTAGAATGTTTTGGTTCTATGTCTTAAACTGAAATGCATAAAAAAATGACAAAATGATACACTCTTTGCACACTGTAAAAGATCACCAAAAATACTAGCCCATCTAGTGGATTAAGGCACAAGCTTTTAACAAAATTCTATTACAGTGAACCACATTATTTTAATGGATTTCTTCGCCAGTTAGTCGTCTGTCACTTCGTTTGTGGTAGTAGCCTCCAATTGTCCTAAATTTTGATTGTTACATTAAGCAATCAAACTCAAATTCGCAGTCCTAGATTTTTGTTTTAACGGAGATATCTTCTACTGGAACGGTTCAAATTTAAAAAAAAAAAAACTAAACAGTTCTGTGATAAGCAAATCGAATAACGGAATCATGCAGAGTAGATCATTATAGTCGGTTCTAGAAGTTTATTCAGATAGAAAGTGTAGACAATTCGAAAGAACACTAAGAATCGCTTTGGAATGCAAGAGACGGTATTTTAAAAATCGACACTAATTATAGACTAGCATGCATTGATCAATTTACATGTCACTGAACAGATTAACAGTTTCAGAAATAAGCATTAACTAATCCAGACTTCCTAGCAAACGTAAGCGATTATCGGAGTTGATTTGACTGATCGAAGTTTATTTGTCTGGATAAAAAAAAACAGGCTACAAGAAACCGTTTATCATTTAAGAGAATTTATTTACAGAAAAGTGAACTTGTATGTATCTATGTCGATAAGTTGCTTTGTTAGTACTTAGCGAGGAAAATGTTAAACAAATCGAAATATTTTTTCAATCAAAAGTTGCCAAAGACGAATGACACAAGCGGAGTACCAAAAAGAACAAAAAATGAGAGAGTGGAAGTAACGAAAAGCAAACATTGAGTGAAGTTAACCGAGTAAACCTTGGGCAGGATCTGTTTAAAAGAAAGTACCTATTTAAAAATAAAATATATTTTTGTGAATTTGTGAACTGTAACGGAATAAAAACCTATTTTGATTTAAATAACGTTGACTGATTGGGAATCCGAAATCCCATTGACTACCCGTTTCCCGTTATCTTTTTCTGCATCGAAGCACCCCTCATTCTCAAGCGCATCCGTCTAGTTTCGCTCTTCAATCGACGTGCCCGTGCGGTTGCCTACCCGAAGGCGCTTGCATCGTTATGCCAGCGATCATTAAATTGAAGGTAAGTTGCCAGCTATAATACCGATGCCAGACATAAGTCTAGTCTAGTCTAGTCTACACATACACAGCCAGTACTTGAAAGAATCCTGGAAATGATAGAAATACATCTATCATTTTCTTATAATACCGATGCCAGACATAAGGGTAGTATCTCTGAGGTAGTATCGTTAAACTTCTTTAATCTCGTACGTCGATTGCGGTACTGGATTATAGGAGTGTCGTGACCTGGTCGAGGATTCAAGCATCGACCATTTGTCACTATGATGATTCCCGCCCAATTGTCCCACGGTGTTCCTATCAGAGTTGCCACATTTTTTTTTTTCTAATTTCAATTTGTATTTTCATCATAACAAATCTTTTAACTCTGTATCTGGCTGACAGAAATCTGTAAAAAAAAATCTGTATAATTTCAGAAGTTTGATTTTTAATTAATTTATCGATTAAAAGATCTCAAAATTCTAGAATCTTGATTTTCAAAGGGATTTGTATATTTTTAACAAGCTAAAACTACAATAACATCAATCCCAGTTGCAAGAGACAACCCTGCTTTCGGCTAAAAATTTCTTTAATGATGTACCAATCACACATTTCGCTAGAATTTGATTTCTGTTAATGGCCGAGATTATGAATATCTTCATCTGAATACGTTCTTTTTAAACCCGTGATTCTTCATTCAATGTTAATGCTGGTTCTTTCCTGATGAATGTGAGCGTGAGAAGGATTAGTAATATCCATTTAATTCCACTACCTTATTTGCTTATCCTTGACAGATACGCGTATTTCGTTTACAATTTGCAGACTTCTTCATTGCCTTGTACTAATACTCGACTTTGGTTGGTTCTTTAATTTTCTAAAATTCTTCTTATCAAACCAGATTTGATGATTTTGTATTTGATTAATATAACCTTGAGATTGCAGTGTTACATCCAGCTGATGCTGTAAGCTGAGGAGACATCTGCATCTTATTATATGTAAAATATTTATTATTTTCATTGCAGAATTTCATCTATTTTATCCACATAAATGTATTTTCATTATTTTATATTGTTCGGAAATATTTCATTTCTCCATTACATATATTTACTTTATTTAAATAAATACTGGGTTGGGAGGGAGCATCCGAGGGGGACGACTCTATGTACGTTGCAAAAAAGATTGTGTTTTGCTGTAGCTACCTGCGCGCACGCTGAGTAGATAGAAAAAAGATTGATGACGATTCTGAAGATTTCCTGCAAAAACTTGATGAGCGGTGCAAGTAGATGCGATAAATGAAAGAAGATTGTTCGAAGATTGATTCGCTAGTGTGAACATCAGGGTATCATTTGACCTGAAACTGGACGATGGAGTGGTATGACAACCGGAGTCTAGGAGGGAATAAACACTATCATTTTCCTTATCCTACCGATTCGATTGTGGTGGTGTGAATTCTACTGCAACAGTTGCAGGGAGATTTACGCCCCTTTCTTAACAAACCATCCTGTGGGAAGCTTAATAAGTATTGCGAATTGTGTTATTCGTTTTGTTGGATCGTACTGTTGGAAGGAGACTCTCATTTTCCCGCGGGTTTCACGTAAGTGACTATGCTTACGGGTCCGTCCCTTTAGCCCTTCATTCAGCGTTATTGTGAATTCGGACCGGTCCCGAAAAACGTGCTCAACTTTTTGGCTCAAAATCCACCAACCCCTCATTTTATCTGTCAAACTTTCATAGCGAATCAAAACAAACATAGTGTAGTTCTAGAATCTCAACTAGAATGTGATACGTTAATCGATTTGTTTGGGACCAATAGGCCCGTCAAGTAGTGAGCCAATTTAAAATCGTTAGTTTCCACCGGTTGGTAATATATTCGCTATATTCATAGCCTGGCGGATAGAATTTCGATCTATAAAAAAGCGGAACCAATACAATATATTGTAGACCAACAATTGAAAAGGTCCTATCAACTTTTATAAACCAAACGTTGATTATTCTTTCCTCGACAATCGAACGCAAATTACTGGCATCATCGGATAGGGGAATCTTTCCCCAACCCAAAGATAGTGTTAGTTTGCGTAGGCGAGCCTTGAATCACGAGAAAACGGTTTCCGAAGTTTTGTTCGAAATAGCTGATGTGCTCTTTTCTGTTGTTGGTCGTGGTTGGTTCCGCTATTTGACAGCTCAATTGGTTCCCGAGATTCTATCCGCCAGACTATGAATATAGCGACTATAGTTGGTAATACTCGCTGTTGATGGTTTTTCCTTTTTCGAGGTAGTCCACGAAGAGTATGCCATGACAATCCCAGAAAACCGACGCCATAACCTTTCCGACCCATGTGACGATGAAAAAATAGGTCCTCTCACTATCACGAGATGAAACTACCTATCATTAGCTTTCTTGTAATTTTTCAATGATCTCTCATGAGAATAATTCTTATGCGGTTTTGACATCAACATTTCTAATTGATTTAGATGAGTTTAAGAGAACAACTGCATGTTATCGGTAGAGTGAATATATTATTAAGATTTCCACGGTACAAATAACTTTAATAGCATTAAATGAGCCAGTAATTACGATGATCACAACACTGTCACGTTCTGCCATGACAAAAAATTCGATGAGATTTTGAAGAAAATCTCTATCATCGTTTTCTTATCCAATGATAGTGACAGAAGTATCTCTATCGCGTGAGATCTTTCATTGAAATTGACATTTGCCAGCCCTGGTCAGGAGTAAGTTTGCGTGGCACCCAGCGGCAGGCGAGAGAGGTTTGCTGCCATTCATGTTCATGTTTTCTATCACACGCTCTTACTCTCACTCTGGGTGAACTCTGAGCTTCTTGCGTCGAACAAAAAAGTCATCCGAAGTCTCGAAAAGCGCACCTCACGGCAAATCATCCTCTCGCTGAAGTTCACTCTCCCTCTCTCTCTCGAGTTTACTTCTTCCATATTCCTGCCGCTACTTGCTCGAGGTGAGGGCTGACCAAATTCGCAAGACAAGAGTTTTTTAAAACCACCAGTGAGTTTAAGGAGTTTCAGCAAGCCTGTACTCAACATGATGCCAAACACGTCAACAACAATCAGCTGTCAAAACAAAACTAAAGACAGTACCGCACTGAAATGTGCCATGTCTGCCTAAATATGAACGGACTACTAGGCACCATAGCCTTTTTTTCCAGCCCAGTGGCAGGCGCGTAGGCCATATGGTATACCGTGACAGTGGGCCCAGCACAGCAAAATAAACGATTTGAGCCCGGGACATGCTGCCGACTGTTAAACGCTGCTGTTGGTATAGGCCTTGTCACTGGCCTATTTTTTGCAGAAGCAGCACGGCGAATGAGAACGACCCAAATTTGAGTTTAGTTCACTCATAATCGCCAAAAGTGCATGAACTCAGCGATGAGTAAAATTTGTCTCATGGTTTCCTGTGGAAAACCTAAAAAATCTGCGACGCTGGGCGTTAAAGCCGAATACAAGTTCGGCAGAGTCGGAACCATGGTGGTGCTCCGTACCAAAGCGGAGTATGACTTGGTCGTCGCCCACCTGAGGACTTCCAAGGCGGAATTCTTCACCCACGACATTCCCGGTGAGAAATCATTCAAGGTCGTCATCAGGGGCCTACCAAACTTCGACACGGAGTTTATCGAAGCTGAACTCAGGGACCGGTACAAGCTGGGCTCAAGTGCCGTCTATCGGATGAAAAGAAGAGACGAGAATGTGAAGGCGTATCCGGATTGCCTTTTCCTGGTACACTTCCAGAAGGGAACGGTGACGCTCAACGCGCTGAAAGCCATCCGCTCCATCAATTGCATCATCGTCCGCTGGGAGCCATACCGTGGCGGCCATCGCGATGTGACTCAGTGCCAACGGTGTCTGAACTTTGGACACGGCACCCGCAACTGCAACATTAACTCACGCTGCGGCAATTGCGCTCAAGACCACGCCACTTCCGACTACCCTGCGGATGGAGCTGTGGCGTTAAAATGCGCCAACTGTGGTGGTGCTTGCCAAGGTTCCGACAGACAGTGCTCCAAACGCGAGGACTTCAAACGCATCCGAAAACAGGCGGCAGCTTACAACCACCCAGGACGCAAGATGGACAAAGTCCCGGCATTTCGGACGGAGGATTTCCCGCCTCTTCGTACTCCTCAGCAAAGGCAATCGAATTCGCGGGTGCATTCCGCTCAAGCAACTTCTGGTGATTCTGCTGGCCAAAGCTCTCCATCCCCCTGGATTCTGGAGACAACCACCAGCGCAAAACAACAACCCCGATCTGTTTTCAGTGGATACACTGATGGAAATTTTCGTCAACATGACCGGTGCTCTACGTAAGTGCCGCAATAAGCCCGAACAGATCCAAGTGCTCGGTAAGTTCAAAATCCAATATGGTGTCTAAACCGCTAACCATCGCTACCTGGAACGCTTGCTCTGTAAGAGCAAAACAGATTGAGCTTGCCGACTTCCTCCGCAAGCATAGCATCGACGTGGTTCTTCTAACCGAGACCCACCTAAAGTCCGGTGACAGCTTCTGGTTGCCTGACCACAACATTATCCGGCTTGATCGCACCAGCTCCAGGGGGGGGGGGGGGGGGGGGGTGTAGCAGTCATCTTCAGAAAGGGAATCAAGTTTTGCACTCTGCCCCACATCCGCACTTCTATCATCGAGGCTATTAGTGTGGAGTTGGAAACACCAACTGGAAACGTCCGGTTCATCGCTGTTTACTGCCCACGCCAGTGTACCGCAAGCAACGGTTTAGGAATCCAATTCAAGAAGGATCTGACCGCCATCACCCGTACTAAC